GTATCGGCAATTCTTGAGCAATAACAATTAAGTCGTGGGTTCCAACTAAGAAAAGAAGCGAAGGATAACAATAACAATAATGACAAAGTAAGGCGGACCTCTTGCCAGTATCTATTAACAATACACTACAATACAGTGGACAAACATCAGACGAAGGAAAGAAGGTCAGAAAAGGTGCAATGATTGGAGGAGCCAGTGGAGCCGCCATAGGAGTAATAGGAGGACCAATTGGAATAGTTATTGGAGGAGCAGTAGGGGCTGGAGTAGGTGCATTAGTGGGGTATCTGAAATTTCAACACTCACACTAACAGCACAAGAAATATTAGTATTGTACTGCTTGTACATGTACATGTACATGTATGTCAAAATTGTCAAACTGAGAAATTTAACGAAGATATAAAATAAATGAAATAATTATTGTACATGTACATGTATGTGATTGTTTTGTGGTGAATACGTTTAGTGAATCCATTAGTGAATGCATTAGTGGTGATACCCAGAGTCATTGTAAGCCATTCCTACTGTCTGGAGAATGGGCGTCAATGTTATAGGCCCAACCAATGAAAAACAACACGTGATATGGAGGACTCTCCCTTGAGGATTCATGACAACGCCTAACCAAATCAGACGTAAAAACAATTCTTGACACCAAAAAGTGACAAAATGCCGTAAGCAAATGTAATTACTTGACAGTCATACAATGTAACTGTTTTGATTTCAGAGGAGGGAATACCTCAGATGAAGGAAATCTGGTAGGAATTGTGAAGAGAGGATTTGAAGGAGCAGGAGAAGGTGCAATAATAGGAATATATGGTGGACCACCTGGGATAATCATTTGCACTCTTGTTGGGTTTGCTGTTGGAATTTTTAAGAATAATAAAGTTTTCAATTCTTCCAAGACATAATATCATGTGTTTTTAAATGCATTATAAAAATTAAACCAATTGTAAAGTAAATACCATGTACAATGCAAAAGGCCATTAAAGGAGCAACGTTCATTTATCGACACAACCTACACTGCAAACTACTCCCACTGTATAAAGATGGGAGTCAACTTTAAAATGGGTACAGCCTACAATATTACCCGTAAAGTAAACAGCATTAGGGGAATACTCAGCAAAAGCTCTCGGAAAGTGAAGTAAAAGCAAACGCTTTGACTTTAAAACAATCCAGCAAAGTACGAGCCTTATCATTCTAAATTAAAATGCCAGGGTAAGTTAATCTATCATTTAACTATGTTATCAGCTCCCATAGACCGAATACACCAAAAGAAGCAGAGAATACAGCCATAGGTGCTGTGTCTGGAGGAGGAACTGGAGCCATCATAGGAACATTTGTTGCTGGACCTGTTGGAACTGTAGTTGGTGGATTGGTTGGAGCTGGTGTTGGTGCTGTTGTTGGACTCTTTGCATCAAAATAGCTTCTTTTTTAATATACACAATGTCTT